TATTATTTGAGCAACTGTCTGCATCAAAAGAAAAACAGACGTCTATAACGCTCGAAAAATTCGAGTATGGTTTAGGAATGTAGCCACAAGTTGACCATGCGTATGAAATCATTGGTTTAAATAAAGAAGAACTCAGTTGATTATGAACTAGACTTTGTACTTTGATTATAGCGTCACGACTTCCTAAGTCAACATCTAATTCGTCTAGAGATACACGATGATATATTCTTTTTGTTAACACTTTCCATTGTCGGAAAAATAAGTATCACACGGTTGTTTAGTTGATGTTGCTCTTCTAGGTATCACTAATAATTTACATGACTGTCCTTTTGTCAGGTTATTCTCATATACAGTAATGTCAGCCTGCGGTGACCATTGATCGACCACAAAAAGGAATCGATTGCTGACTACTTTATCGAGAACTTCTTTAATCCAGTATTCCACTAAGGATTTATTTAATTTCCCAGATGTACTGCAACTAGTTACTATATTTGATGCTGAAAAGATCGCTCTTGTAATTGGAAACCGGCCCGTGGGTTCCTGAAGACAAATAAAAACAGGATTGAGCAACTGACCAGTAGCACTAATGATCGGCATAACTGTATAGGAATGGCTTATAGTATTCAAAGATTTTACTGATAGATAAGTAGCTTTCTCTCCTGCATAAGATAGTGTACGGTTCGAAGCTATTTCGTAATTAAAACTGGATTGATCAGCATTTAGCACAAAATCAAGCTTATATTTTGGTATATGTTTGGTTGCTTCAGCGACAAAATCATCAGCAGTCTGTTTAATTATAGATTTATCAACAACTTCCCGATGAGAAACGAATTTTGTCACTTTTCTGGAAGATATACCGTTGCGTTTTTTGAAATTGAGAAGCCAATAGTCACTTGCTTTAAAGCCATCTATATTTTCTATTCTTGCTTGGGATAGAGCCCATCGCTTCACGTCAAGATCGTGCACAGGTAAATTGTTATTACGAGCAGAGCGAAATTTATCAAGTACAAAATGCTCTACACGCTCCAATTTTTGCCGACGGTTTCCGTTATTTGCAACATATTCTCGAAATTGCTTTAATTGCATAGGATGTGCAACTCGTCGAAAAGCATGCTGTACGGTTGTAAAAGCAACACCTGGACGACCAAAGTCGACAACCCTTTGCATGTATTCTAAACTCAACTGACAATTTTCGACTACTTGTTGCTCTTCATCATCTTCGATTTCAATAGGATAGTCCGGGTCAAAATGATCGACATCAGAAACTTCGAGAGAATCTTCTGTCTCTATTGTAAAGCTGTCACTGTTGGAAAGGTCCTCTAATAGATCGAGCAGATTGATTGCGATCGATATCTCTTCTTCTGTGGTGCTTATTGAATGAACACTTGACCTTTCTAAT